ACATGCTTGCTTGTGTACACTTTCTGAAATGAATGATTGCTGATTAGTGATATCCCAAACTCTGCGAGAATGGAAATGCATAGTCATCGTAGTCAAGCATTCACGTTCCAAGTAAAAGTGTCTCAGGCAAACGGTATTTTGCGGTGAATTTTGAGCCGTGTGGAAATGCATCATGAAGTAAATTCAACGAAAACATTATCACGCAACGATATCTTCACGTCTTTTGATCTTCACTATACGAAAGAACATACATTTTTTAGTATGTATGGGGAATTTCTAGTTAATCCAATAATAAATATGGCAGTTAGAACTTAGAGGCCTGCTAAGAGTAACATGTCGCCGGCTGAGGCGGGCTCGGCCGATGCGGGAAACGCAGCAATCACAATTTTGTGTTTACACGTTCATAATTCAATTGTTTACCAACCGATTTTCAAAATTCTTTCACCATAAGATTGCCTGTACATTTCTTAGTCTTCTCACAAAATTTGACGCGAATCGAACGTAATCAGCGGTAGGGAGCGCGATGTAAAGACGGAACCGTTTCGTTCCGTCCCAGCACAGTCTACAATTCAGGCGGCGCGTAGCGGTCGGCGCCGGCTGCCGAGTCGCCGCGTCGCTGCGGCCACAGGATGTTCACTTTACACCGCTATTACTAGAACAGCTGTGAACCGATTTTCTTATTGCTTGCACGATGAGATGTCCAATTCAATTCTTGACAGGAAGCCATAATTAATTTCGCATTAATCTTATGAGATATTGGCGAAAAACAGGAGGGGTGGGCGAAATTCGCTCTTCCCCCTCCACTGCGCGTGCTAACATACGTTTGCATATGTGCAATTTTCTTCAAAACTTATGAATGGCCCACTCTAATTTTTTTCACAGGTTGTTAAGAATATGGTAGGCAATAAAATATATGAAAATGAGCCAAATCGAAGGTGACGTGTTTTTTGCTATTTCAATATTTGTGCTTAAGTACAGAGTTAAGCAAATTTCAAGGTCATATATTTAAGCAGGTGCAATTCTAAACAAATGCTTCAGAAATTACCTAAACAGTAAGGTTTATTTCATTCAATTCAAACAAGTAAAACCAAAGTTATGGTCGTTCAAAAATATAAAGATGCAACATTTTGTAAAAATTTGATGCCCAATATTTAGAAGACCTGTGGTCAGAATGTGCAAAAAACATCAATGTAATGTCCGGGGCCACACAGGAACTCGCTCACAAATTTATAATGAAATCGCTGATGGTAAGGTGCAAAACAGCCGATTTTTGTTCGATTTGACGTGGAATGCCCCTACTGCTTCGGTCATAGTCGGGTAGCCAAACTTGGCGCGCAGCCACGGAACTGGACTGATTCGGACCTGAGTCGGAATCGAAACGGGGTGGAGTATTAGTCGAGTTGGGCGAAGGATTAGAAGAGTTCGACATTTTGTTTTCTCAAAGACAATGACAATATAATAACAATGTGAATAAGACCAGACCAGAAACGTCTGGTCTTATTTACATTGCTATTATATTGTCATTGTCTGTTGGCGGAGGATGATTTGAAAACGGAGTAGTGTCACATTCGTGTTGGAGCGGAGTTTGAGTCGACCCAGCATGGATTCACGGTCGGGTGGCGGCAGGCAGAGTCGGCCGAGCTGTGATCACTGGTACCGTTTCCCGAACCGCAGACCGATTCGTTCCGACGAGGATGTGCCCGGCTGGTCAGACGATCGAGGCGGCTTTCTTTGGTCGTGCTCCGGTGGATCCCGGCCAGCGCGGTTTCACGGAAATTTAGCTCACCGCACATGTGCCTGGAAAACCAGCAGCGAAAAGCAAGTGTAGAGAAGAGAAGTGTTGCAAGTGGCAGTTGCCTCATCACTCCAAGTAGTCGTGAGGCTACTGGGTGACTTATGACGCAATGGAATGATGATGTGTTCCATGCGAAGACGCAGTCAATGGGAGTGTTTTGTTTATTGTTTCATGTCGGGGGGGGGGGGGGGGTGGAGACGGCTTAACACTTGCGCTTAAATGCTTGCCCATTCCATGACAAGTTACATCTACGCATTCTCCTCAATTGATAATGAATACCTGCGTAGGTAGGAAAATACACAAAGAGTCACTTTTCTGGCTGCTTTGAGACCCGATTAGACTCTAGTCTTATGCCGTGCCCTCTCGTTACGGCGCTTCCTGTCCGCTGTTGCCTGCTGTCGACCCCGGTCCTGGTCGCGCGGCGTTCTATGTAATGCCGGCTCCCTCTCCCTTCTGCCGCTGGTTTTGTGCACGTGTCTGTGCCGCCGTCTGCGCAGAGGTAGCTATTGGCCTCTCAGGGGTGAGGGGACGCGGCTGTTGGTTTTTACTTCCGTCGAGAGGGCGCAGCTTTGGCCGCGCCGGCACGCGCCAGCCATTAGTTCGCACTTCGTTACGAGCTGGCTGAAGACGGTGCAAACGACCGGAGCTTTCGACGCCAGTTGGGCTCTGCGTCAGCACCCGTTGGGGCAGGGTGGTGGGAGAGAATGAAACGAATTTAGGGGCGCTCCGGGTTGACGACCTGCATGAGCGTGGGCTTGGGGATGGTGGAGTAGGGAAGTGCTCTGGTGCATGGTGGTGTGCGCTGTGCAAGTGGCGCGCATTGTACATTATATGGGCTCGTATTGAGCCGGTGTTGCTGCTAACTGGATGGACAGCACAGTCAGGCACTCAAACAACAGCTCGCCGATGTTCGCCCCGCCGTAATTGGCGTCCCGCTCCATTGTTTTGGTCTCGCGTGTCTGGTTTGGGAGTAGTAACTTGGAGAATTGCTATAAATCATCCACGATCCCTATTATAGGGTTGTTTTGGTGACGCTGGTCACCGATTGACAACGGTCTCAGACTGGTAATTATCAGTCAATACCAATGTTTACCTCGGTGTAGGACTTGATGATGAAAAAAATGCAATGTCAAGAGACGGTAATTATTTAACCCATTAAACAGCCCATTCATCATTGTCACATGGTCACAAAGGTCTGGAAGCACGCTGAGCTTATATAACTGTCTTCGATGACCAGTAAACTATGCTCAATAAATATTGTCAATAATGCATTGGAAGAGTCTTGTGTGATGGATGGGTTTTCGCATCTCGAAGGTATGAATTATGCAATTGCCTACGTAAAAAAGTCGAGCGAGTGAGCTTACAGGGTGTTAAACAATTAACGTTACAAGATCAAAGCTCAATATCTCTGGGCATAATGACTTTATTTCCGCCAAAATTGCACCATATGCACCCAAAACCACAGAGACCAACATCCTTAAGTCCTACTCGAAGTGGCCGCCTCCAGCCTTCACAGCGGCAGCCAACCGTCTCCTGAAGTCACGGACTGCGGCACGCACAACCGCGTCGGGGATCTTCTGCCAGGCGCTAATCAGAGATCGCTTGAGATCGTCGATCTTCTTGTGCGGTTTGGAGCAGGCTTCCTTCTCGAGCACGGACCACATCGTGTAATCCATCGGATTCAGATCTGGGGATGATGGGGGCCACTGGTCCTTGATGATGCCGGGCGTTCTGTGCTGCCGTTTCCTGCGCTCTTCCGGGACGACCTTCTGCAGTGCCGGTCTTCTTTACACGGTCCAAAGTCCTCCATATGATCATTCGGTTGAGTCCCAAACCCTTTCCTGAATCCAAAATTTCACTGGGCGTTTTCCCCATGGAAGACTGATGGAGGATAAAGTCCCTTTTCATCCTGGATTTTGCGGCTTTCATCTTCAGGCGCGGGTGTGGACTTGTGTGGCGGCGCGAAGGTACTGGACTCGAATGACCTCCTAGACTGCAAGGAGGGTCAAGGTCTGTGCCCCCTGGCGACCGACAGCTGTTGCGGAGTTTCATGCACTAGTGCCCACGATCCGCATCGCAGCGGGCCGCAGGGGGCACGCGTTAATCCACCCACACATCCCAGCCGCCAGGTCGGCTCGCCGGCCGGCACGCAAGTCACCTTTCTGACACGAGGTAGGAAATGACGTCATTGCCATTGAAGCCTGTGCGTTGAAGACTTGAAATTCATACAGGAGGTGCGTAATAGATACCTGTTGACTACACCACGCAGCCATGTACAGCCGTCTTCAAACAGGTCCGCGAGCAACAAGCTTATCACACAGGCTGTAATCCTGATATTCGAGATAATCGCTGACTCGGACCTCATTTGGATCAGTCTTTCATCTGCTACACCCATTATCTGTCCAAAGGGCATTCAAAATGTAATCAACCAGGACCAGAATTATGTGCTCTTTCCAATGGTGTATAGTGTTTTCAGAAAAAAAAACACCTTTAAGTGCACCAAAATTGAGTGGGAACTCTTGTAACGGTAATTGTGAAACACCCTGTAGTTAGCTTCCTGTAGTTTAGAGCGCACAACACGACCCTGCGTAAAGCATTATGCGTTAGCTACCCTGCACTTGACGCGGAATAAAACCAGCGACAGTGTAACTCACAGCTGGGCTGTGTGGGTCTTGCTTTACAGTGCCGCACTAAAAGCTGCAGTGCGTGCGCCCGGCTCCCTGACTGCTCCCCTCCCCGCCCGCACGTGGTGGGTCCGTGCGGCACGAACGGGGGTGTGGTGGAACCTGACACCCTGCTAGGGGTCTGCAGAGGGGCCACCGCTGACGGTCACCCCCACCGGCCCCCGTGGGCTGATAGCTCGGTCTGCACCCGACCCGTACCGGCTCACCCGAGCGTCTGACCCGTGCAGATGACCCCGTGCAACTGACCCCTGCAACTGCCAAATGCATATTGCATATAACAACTGATCCATGCGGTTGACCCTGTCTAGGACTTAGCTGATGCAGCCCGACATCAGTGCTTAGTCCGCTGATCCCGAGCATAAGAGCTAACCGCGCGCCCCCGGCACCTGACCCCCAGGAGCAACTCATGAGCGTTCGCCAGAGTTAATAACTTGCCGAAGACGTCAAGTGCGGTTTCATGCCCCTTCTCCTCCACGCTTTCGCTGTGTCTCTTTACTGACCCTCCCGCTCCTGTCGGTCAGGTGGAGTTTCCGGACCGGGGAGGCGACTTCGAGGTGATGGACGTACCCGATGCCGGCGGCGGCTACCCCCCTGCCGACCTCTGCTCCGACCGTCAGGCCAGCTCCTCGCCGGGCGCCGGGCTCGACAAACAGCAGCTCTATGAGTCGCCGTGCTCGCCCGACCGACAATTCTGCAGCTCCACCACACTCAGCGAGGGCGGCATCCAGTATGAGGTGAGAGGTATTTTAATTGCGTTGGGGGTGTGACGTGTGTCAACTAGGGACGTGTTGGGAGAGGATGTCGACCGTCAAGCAAAGATGGGATAGGTACTGATTGGAGGAAGAAGTCTGGCCTCCCAAAACACGCAGAGGAATCGAACAGTGAATGCGAAATCGGAAAGGAATGGAGAGATCGAACAGGCTGTGTCCTATTTCTTCCATGCACTGCTGGCTGTTTAATTTTATCGTGATTGGATGGCCTCCATTGCCGTGCCATGTTTCTCTCAGCCATGGGCGCTCGTTCTCCGCTCGAACGGGGGCCAATCGGCTCTAGTATTATTTGGCAGCGTCTCTAACGGCAGCCATCAATTTCGGTTCAGTATTTATCGGCAGTCATTCAATCGGCTAAATGGATCGCTGAAATGTAATCGTTTAATATCAGGTCAGTCCAAATTGACTGCGCACTTTACTTAACATGATTAAAAATGCTGCCATGAAAATTATTTATCACTTATCCAATATGTGATCGTTCATCATCGAAAAACTAGCGGGCTTTCACCACATCCGCTGCTCATCTGTGCCTAATTTCGCCCCTGAACAGCTGACCTACTGGCTAGCTTTGTTCCTTAGCTCAGTCATGTTACGTCACGTAGTTCCAGCTCTCTATAACTTTGTCGTGGCATCAACATGTGACCTGCGTTACCGTAACCCGTCTGACTTGACTACTCTTACCTCTCCTCTCTGACCACCGTCTTGTGTAAACTCCTCGCAGGTGCGTGGCGAGGATGACGCCCCGAAGCGGACCTGCCTGGTGTGCGGAGACGTCGCCAGCGGCTTCCACTACGGCGTTGCCAGCTGCGAGGCCTGCAAGGCCTTCTTCAAGCGCACCATACAGGGTGAGAACCGGCCGACGAGGCTGTCGGATGGGATCGCCGAACAAAGCTTAAAGACGTGTGTAGATAGTTTGCTTCTAGTCTTCCTGGAGCCAATGATTCACCTGAAATATAGCGCTAACTCTGTCTTGTGAGCAAGATTATTTGCTCCGCCACTTTTGTCACTCAAATCTAAAAGTACGAAAGCATCATCGTTATAAATCATATGAAAGCTTTGATCACCAAGTTTCGACGATCCGTTGAGGCCACGTCCTAGTTGGCAACTTCAGGCACGTTCGGAGCGATGTTCCCGCCTGGGTTTCAGCTCTGGGGTACCAGCTCCCAAAGCCGAGAGCTAGCGGTGCCGAGACTCCGGACTCTTGGAGACGTGATCCGTCCTCCCTGCTCTCTCTGTCCTTCTCGTCCTCTTCTTCCTCCTCCTCCGGACGACGCAAGAGGATCCCGGCCTTCCTGCGCAGTCTGTCAGGTCCGTCCTTGCCGCCCGCTGTGGCCACTCCTGGTGCGCACACTCGCTCGTGTTGGTCACTCGAGTCTGTTGTGCGTGTCCTAAGGCGTTGACGGAACGCTCTTGCCTGTGTAATAAGCATGAAGAAACGAATATAAAAGTAAATGGTCGTGGTTTTCATTCGTTTCAACATCCATGTCTATGATCTGATTAGAGACAAAGACAGTGTTTAAACAGCATTTCATGAAAAGTACGTCACAAGTGACGCGTTAAACGTTTTGAATCCTATGGCGTGCGTTACCTAGCCTTTTTATGTTTTGCATTTATACCACCGTCATCAACATGACTGTGCAGTTGCGTTGTTTTGTCGTGTGCCCGCCTGGCTCAGCGGACGGATGGTCCTTCTGGCTCTGTATCACCTGCCTGGTTATGACGCCCTGGCTTGAAATGACGAGGCAGACTTATTGCGTATTACCCCAGGTGTTGTGATATGAGAGCTAGCTTAAGATTTACTCAAGACCCATGAACGCTGTACCCTTCATACATCTTAGGAATTTTTAGTAAAAGCGATTTATTTGATCATGCCGTATCAGTTTGCTGGCAAATGCATTTATAAGAGGAATGATAGTCTTTGTTCAATTGACTTCGATTGTTTCGACTCTTCAACTGACGCTCATTGCACCGTAGACTTTCCATGAGTGTAACACAATTCGACACGGATTTCTCACTCCCTTACCATGTTTCAGGCAATATCGAGTACACGTGTCCGGCCAATAACGACTGTGAGATCAACAAACGACGGCGGAAGGCGTGCCAGGCGTGCAGGTGGGTAGATAGAGGAAATGTCACGTGATCTGACGCTCGCTTTGCTAATTGATGTCACGCCGTCTGGATAATGGATGTGGCCCCCGCTGAACGGTGCGCGCACGGCGCGTTACGCGATACCCGGCGCATCCCTGTATGTGCGTCTGCATCGTGCGTCCTGTGTGTCATTTCCGTCACTGGAGGCCTCAGTGGTGCTGTTTCTTCCAGTCAGCACACGTTGGAACCGGCATGGGGGGGGGGGGGGGGCGAATGTCGGTCAGGGTACAGGACGCTCACTATCGACCCCCTACGTGATGATTGGTGTTTGAGTTCCGGTGACGGAATCCGAGGGTTTTTATCACATTTGTTTTGTTGTATTCAATGGCGAATATGGTTACAGAAGAATATGACGGCCGAGCTGACGGTTGACATGTTCAGGTTAATCGACTAGACCGGTAAAGACTGGTTTTTGTTTCGCCAGCTGTATTCCGTGTTTCATCGGTCGTCATTTTTGTGTCCTAACATCAGCTGCGTGTGTGGAGCTTTTTCATTCAGTCGCCCGCCGCTTTGTTTGGCCTCCAAATGGATGTTGAACATTTCTTGTTGCCTCTGTCTGGCTAACAAGAAATGATGATGTGCGGCAGACCCGCCACCGAATGGTTTTATGGTGATTTGGATTTAAGAGAGGTAAAGGGTTGGTACGTTGTGTGACCCTAATGTAAAGGCCTGGCTACACTATGCGTTTTCTGCGTGCGTTTTTTGCGAGTTTGCGTGATTTGCGGAATATCCTTCTAGAAAGAAACGACATAACGTTTTTGTTATACGTTTTTCATATAAATTTTTAATTAATATAAACGTTTTATTAACTTTTATATAAATATTAAAGAAGTTATATTAATAATAACTTTTTTTTTTTGAACGATATTACGCAAAACACGCAAACTCGCAAAAAAACGCACGCAGAAAACGCATAGTGTAGCCAGGCCTTTACGGTACATATATCCTTGTCATATCACGCCCACTATCACTTTACGCTGGGACTGTCCTCCATCCATGCCTACATAGCAACTCTGTTGATTTGTTTCTACTATCTTCCCCAGTGACGTTGAATGAATAGCTGCTGCGAGGTTTGCAGTCGTGCAGTTCTGACAGCTCGAACTCGTTAGTTATTTGCCTTCTTAGATTGTCCTCTCCTTTTGACATTTCTCATCGAGATGGTCGCTGTTATTTTTACTTGTTTCCCTCCGTTTTGCATTTATCATTGGCATTGTCGCTGTTATGTTTTCGTACGTGCTGATAACGCTTTTTTATCAAACGAAGCGGTTGGCTCGCCATTCACCATGCTAGATCTTTCCCTCGTGCGAGTTACGCACCCGCATTGTGCCATTACTCTAAACGAGCCATTCATTACTGCTAACTGACCTGTTCCACACACCCATAAGGCAATGACGCATTCAGTAAGTCCGGCTTTGGCTTACTATGCGACCACGACAATGCATCACTTCCGAGTTTTGCGGCGTGGGACTGTCCCACTGCGCTGTGCATCATTGAATCATGGGTCAGGACTGCGCGGCTAAAATAGAGTGCTGTCATTACTGCACGCAGCGCGACCGCCGGAGATACATCAAAGCGTGCCGCCGGGCCGAGTTGTGAGGGCTGCCTCATCCCAGGCGGCTGCGGCACGAGGTTTTACTGAATCCGGCACCGCTGTGCAGGAAATGAGCGGAACTTTGCGGCGCATCTTGCCGAAATGCGTGGGGAGAGCCGAGATGCGGGGCGCGATCGCGGAATAACTGGGGCACGACTGCAGAAAGAAGAGAGAGATAGACGGAGTGGCGAAGTCCTAGCCGCCGTGACACATGCAGTCCCGTGCTTTATGTGCCAAGGGCGGAATGTCCGTTTTTAGACAGTGGTAAAGTGCCGGTCAGGAAATATCAAACGGTCACGAACGACCACTGGACAAGTCATGAGTCACGGGCTTTGTTACGGTGCAAGGTTTCTAGGGATGAAGTGTTTCCGGTCTTCCGCTATTGTGTATTAATTGTGGTCTTTGATCAGGGGCGTAGGCAGGGGGGGGGGCCACTGGGCCATGGCCCCCCCCCCCTTGGGCGCCGAAGGCGCCCTTTGCGATTGGAGGGCGCCCCAATCGCAAATGCAATTGTGATATAATCGAATCGAAAAACAATCGCGACTGGAGGGCGCCCTCCAATCGCGAATGTGTTTACAGGGAAAATACGGATGGAGGGCGCCCTCGGAGGACGCCCATTCCAAATACGCCCTCCAAATACGGTTGGAGGGCTCCCTCGGGCGCCCTCCAACCACATTTGTAGGCTGTAGCTCTCTAAGCGTAACGGTGGTCGCCTATGTAAGCCGCTGTCCTGTAAATAAGCGCCCTCTCACCCGAAGGCGCCCTCCTGTAGGTCGCCACCCTGCTACACATTGCCGCCCTTCTGCTGATCGGCGTCCTCATAATTATTGGCGCTCTTCTACCTATTGCGCCCTCATGTGAAATTTTGAAGGCCGCCTTTCTCCCTTTTGGCACCCTCTTGTTCAGTGCCGCCCTCCTACCTATTGGTTCCCTAGTCCTTCCTGTTGAATGCTAATCGGGGCCCTTCTCCTATTGGCGCCCTCGTGTTGATCGCCGCCCTCCTAACCACTGGCACCCTCCTGTTGATCACCGCCCTCCTATCTACTGGCACCTTCCTGTTGACCAGCGCCCTCCGCACAGACGCCCTCCTGTTCGTGTCATCCTCTTGAGCAAAGGCGCCCTCCTCACCATTGCCACCCCCATTTTAATCGTCACCCTTCCGCTCATTGGCGACTTGCAGTTGATGACCGCCCTTTCACCTATTGGCGACCTCTTGTTGATCGCCACCCTCCTATTGGTGCTCTCCTGTTCCTCGCCACCCTCTTACCTGGTGGCGCCCTCCTGTTGATTGTTGATCGGGGCCCTCCTACCTATTGGTGCCCTCCTGTTGATCGCTGCCCTTCTATCCATTTGCGCCCTCCTGTTGCTCGCCAACTTCCTACCTATCGGTGCCCTACTGTCGAAACTCGGGATGTTGATCGGGGCTCTTCTACCTATTAGCGCCCTCCTGTGGATCGCAGCCCTTCTACCTATTGGCAACATCCGTTGATCGCTGCCCTCCTATCATTTATTTACTCCTTTTTTGGCATGTTCTTCAACTTAGTCGTTCTATTGCACATAGTTGATGTCTTGCCTGTGAAAACTGCCACAAATGAACGTGCATTCAGCACAATGAATGAAGTACCTATACCTACCAAAACTATCTACGCTCTACGATGCATAAAACACGTCTTTGGTCTTAACGGATTGATCCTACTTTACGTGCATCATGGCATCTATATGTATTACGATTAAGTATTGTCAACAGGTTCGGCCGCAACAGCAGGCATCTGAAGTTTCGGTGATTGAAACTGGTTATGTGGGTACACTGTATGCACCTGTGAGAAGGCTATGAAGGCTGGTCTGAGGTAATTTGGATGATGTTTACGCATCTCGCGCTCCGGTATCAATCCGATACGGTGATCTGGTGCGTAGATATGCCACCGCTAATAAACTTTTATACATCGACACCCATGAGCCAAGCTTTCTATACAGTTTGTGTGGCAGCGGCCCGACCAAACCTAAGGTATTTTTTATACCTTCAAATTTGGTAAAAGAGCGAGAGGAGCTTTGAACAGTGATCGTATAAAAGGCGTGCCTAAAAAGCGGAGGAAAAGGTTGTTTTCAAAAATTTCGCGCGCCTTCGGCGCAGCATTTCAAGACCACTCGACCTCTTGTGACCTGGAGTATAAAGAATACACACGATGCAAAATCAATGCAGCACGACCTATACGAGGTTACGCAAAAAAAAACTGGTGGCATGGTAAAAAACGCCTCCCAACCCCCCCCCCCCCCCCCCCGTTGAGTGATTTTTTATCTCGCGACCGTATGGCGCCCTCCTTGGGTGAGGTGGCTCCCTCCAAACCCTTGGCCCCCCCCTTCGCGATTTTCTAAATACGCCGCTGTGACTTTGATTCATCTGGATGTTCTTTTATTGTCTTCAACTTGCTCATCGGCATACCGTTGTGGAGGCTCATGATGAATGGAACTTTACGCGGAGAGTTCCAAATATAGATTGTATCTACATTGACGTACTACCTACATTTCCACACGCAGAGACGTGTACCATGTTCACCGGTACGGGACCGCCTCCTGGCCAACTGAGTACCGACCCATCTGATGTGACTCATCCCTGGTGGTGTCCGACAGGTCTCGAAAGTTGGTGGTCATACTGGTTTGTGATTCGCACGTGGTGGTATTCGGCGGCTCCCAGGAGCACCTCATGCGATCTAACCCGTTTGTCCCGCCCCGCATTTCTTCCCACCAGATTTCAGGAGCGCCTGATGTTGGAACTGACCCAACCAATATTACGTCTGCAGCGTCTGTTGTCCCTACTTTCAGAAAAGAACAGCACTCTGACCGATCGACGTTACTGACTTGGCAGGTTTTGCGAGTGTTGACATTTTGACAATTTTACGTTGCATGTTGTCCGTGGGCTGTTTCATAGGCGTTTCAAACTGACCGTTCTAAAGGCCTGGCTACACTATGCGTTTTCTGCGTGCGTTTTTTGTGGGTTTGCAGATTTGGCGTAATATTGTTCTAGAAAAATCGACGATTTCATGTTTTTGTGATGTGTTTTATATTAAATGTTAGTTAATGTAAGAGTTATGTTAACTTTTGTATGTAACTAATGCAAAAGTTGTATTAGTTATAACTTTTTCTAGAACGATATTACGCAAAAGACGCAAACCCGCAAAAAACGCACGCAGAAAACGCATATTATAGTTTAGCCAGGCCTTAAGACACTGTCACCAGAGGGTTTCAGAAGTGTATCTCGAATTTCTTCTGATTTTCGTCTGACACACGGCACCGTCCCGGCAGGTTTCAGAGGTGTTTATGTCAATCTAACCTCTCCCCGACTCCGTCTCCGGCAGGTTTCAAAAGTGGGAGCCGTCCTGACAGTTCTCCACCTCCCGTTGTTCTCCGGCAGGTTTCAGAAGTGGCAGCCGTCCTGACAGTTCTCCACCTCCCGTTGTTCTCCGGCAGGTTTCAGAAGTGGCAGCCGTCCTGACAGTTCTCCACCTCCCGTTGTTCTCCGACAGGTTTCAGAAGTGTCTGACGGTGGGGATGCTGAAGGAGGGTGTTCGGCTGGACCGGGTACGGGGAGGCCGACAGAAGTATCGCCGCAACCCCGAGCCACCCTACCAGCTGCACACCGTCCAGGCCAAGAAACCGTCGCTCGAAGGTAGGTCGGCGGCCGCTTGGCCGTTTGTTTTGCCGCCGGTAGCAGTTGAGGCGCCTTCCGGTGTGGTTTTGTGTGTTGATTTCATGTCCTGACTCACTGATCACCCGTGATTGTCGCGCAGTGTCCGGAAGCGGTAATAGTTTGGCCCTCAGTCGGAGGATTTGGGCTATCGTTGTCCGTGGTTCTTTGGAAAAACGTGGATCCGCTTTCATGATGGCGTAATCAGTAACACAGATCAGATTGTCACAAACACTTGCGATTGGAGCCCTACGTCCGGTCAAAAATGTACAGGCAGCTCAGCCGCCGCCTCACCGGTTACCGTTGCGCTGTCCGCGGCCAAGCCCACCGCTTTCATCGTTCTGCTTGTACTGGGCCCCGGGCGGCCGCTGGTATCCTTGAAGCAGGGTACGCAAATACCCTGACTTGCTCGTTACTGAACTCACTAGCCAGAACGCACAAACCACGCACAAACCACGCGCTTTGGCCGGAGCAACGGCCTCAGGCCGAGGGTCATTCATGTCGCCTGTCTGCCGGGCGGTCAGAGCCGATTAGCGCGCTGCCCGGCAGTCTGACAGCGCCGGCGTGTGGCAAAACACAGAGAGATCGGCTGCTGGCGAGCGGCCCGCGATCGGCGCTCGAGGTCGGTCGACTCCGGTTGCGCGGGTCGTTGTGGAGCTGTCCAAGTGCGGGTGTTGTGGACGAGGGTCACCGCATACCAGGCGTGTGTTGGAGGCCGATAAAGTGACAATGGACATACCGGGACTAACACATTGATAGGCGTGCTGCGCAGTGGTTCATAACTTTCAGATCCGAGCGCAGAACAAGTCAATTAAAAGTTGGCTGAATAACGCAGCTCATGCATTAATGATTAAGATAGCAATTAAGCCATTCAACAGCATGAATATGATATCCATTTCATAATTGTTTAATTCAACATCTCGTAAATGGATGAACTGTTCCCATTTCTCTGCCGTCCCTGACTGCCCTCCAGACCGTGCCTGACCCATCGCACGCCGCGCTCACACTCCTTCCACGTCTACAGAGAACACGCTGCTGCGCCACCTCATGAAGTACGAGCCGCCGATGCCGAGCATGCCGCTGGACCGCTCCATTCCGGATGTAGAGTACCGCACCGTCTCGGCGCTGGCCTGTCTGTTCGACAAGGAACTGGGCAACTTCATCGGATGGGCCAAACAGCTGCCGGGTGAGATAGAGGATGGACTGTGGGGCGGGTAGCGGGCGACAAGGGCTGAGTTGATGACCTGGGACTATGGATATAATATGAAGGACACTCAAGGACAGGCAGACAGTGAAAACGAGTTGATGGTGAAATCTAGCCATGCGAGTGATTGAAGGAATGCTTGGGTAGATATAGATGAAAACAGTAGTGGCCGCTGATTGCCGCTAAAGTCCGCTCCCCAAAATCACAAATCATCATCACCATCACCATCATAATCGGTATCCGATTCTAAGATGTGTGGCGGTACGCCTCTCAGCTAATCTGGCAGGTAACTTTGCCGTCTGTTCTGATGAGCAATGTCGCCGTTTGATCCGACCGATTCCACCGTCTATCATGGTGTGGTAACGCGGCTTTGGTCTCTCGAGTTACGATGGCGATGTCTGGGGTCCCCGACCGCTGGCATGAGTCATTGTCTCGGGGCGATGCTCTCAGAGCACCAGACGCGCCTTGTCCCGTTTTATTGCCCCCTACACTGGCCTCTGGTGGCGCCCATCTGCCCCGTTCGCGACTGGCACGACATGAGAAGATAAGGGAGGGAGGACAGGGCATGGGGGCTCAGCCTCGTGACTGGCACGACACGAGCGCTGCTGCAGGGGGCGGAGAGGCATGTGGTGGAAGCTCTGGGCTGTTAATGGGCGGGGTGAAAACACAGACCATTGCCGCCGTCCTGTGTCTGTTGACAAGAATCCTGAGAAGAGGAAAACAGGGGCTGCGGTAGGCGGGCGGGTGGGTGGTGCTGGGCTGGTAGTTTCCCGGGAGTAGACAGATAGGGTGTCAGGACCACGACCTGTGGTGGCAGGATGTGGTCGTTGAGTGGGGGAGTTTTTATACAAAAATAGACACATGGACACTATACGAACCCATAAGGTTGTGTTGATAAGCTGTTTGGGTGAGCTAAGTGTTCCGAGGAGCCGTTTTCTTTGTGAAGCTTGCAGAATATGCGATTACTGGAACCGGTTGTGAGCACCTATGGGGTGGGATAACGACCACAACACAAAGACCAATCGGAAGTTAGGGTGGTCCCTAGTCTAAGTCCTCCGTAGACCGTGTTTCCAGTCATAAACCATAGATGGAACTCATTACTGCTTCTGGTTCAGTGTTTAATGAAAGTCATTTATATTTCGGGCTATTCGGATGTGTTATGTGATTGACGAGACAGGAGCGTCATTCACATAAACCATTAGGTAATGAGACTCGGCTCTTTACTATGACCGATAATTACTAATTTAAAGGCAACATGGCTATCATGGCACCCTCGGAAATGGTAAATTAGTGGAACGGCTTCTCTTACGACCAACTTTATGCGGCTATATCACGTCCGAAATGGTCTCCGCCGGTAATTTCATGAAGCTCAATGAGGCGCGGATGGAGGGCGTAAGACGCCGATTATTGTGTTTTACTGCTTTATTTAGGTTATTTAAATATATTATTTCATTTATTTATTTATTATTTCTAGTATTGTTGACACTAATGGTCAGGGTTGCGACACAGGTGGCTATGAAATGACAGCATAGCTACCGCTAACCTTAACACCACGCGTGCACTGTTATGCGTACGCACTACCCAAGCACGCCGCTAACCCGTGCGCCCCGCTTCCCGTCTGCAGGTTTCGGCAACCTGGTGCTCAACGACCAGATGAACCTGCTGCAGAGCTCGTGGGTGGAGGTGCTGACGCTGTGCTTCGCCTTCCGCTCGCTGGCGGAGGGCGGCGGAGGGGGCGGCGGGGACGCCAGTCCGCCGGCGCGCGCACAGCTCACCTTCGCCAGGGACCTGACCATTGAGGAGAAGGTGGCCAGGGACTGCGGCCTCGAGCAAGTCTTCTTCCAGGTCGGTACCGGGGAGTGTGAGCAGGGGAGGGGTGTATGTGATGGGGCAAAGACAGGGAGAGGGGGTTGAAGGGTACCGTGACGCTGGTGGCTACATGGACCTGCGGCGGTGGGCCTACAAGCTGCTTGCTCGATTACCTGATACAAAAGTTGTGATGGGTGGTGATAAGGCAATGCTGCTGGATTTGTGTGTTTTTTTCTTATTTTTTTCTTACTGTTGTCTTTGTGAATAAGCTGTTCGTTTTTTTTTTTGTTTTTTTTTTTGTTAAGTCGAGTCCTGTCTTGTTTGAGTGGCGTTTTCCATCTTATCGCTGTGGATTTGGTGCTTCCTTTGCATGTGACGTGTAATGTTTTTGTTTTGTGTACTGCAACACCTATAATCTTGCGCTTCCTTCCGGCTACGATAAAGCGTATCCTGTGGATTGGTCCACTCGGCGATCGAGGTACAAGTGCTTCCATCTGTGTACCGTTTCGGACTCTGGCTAGGGAATCTCACACCAGATGGCAGGACGGCTGGCTCCGGACGTCGTTCGCCTCAGAAGGGTGTGCCAGATCAGATTCCTAAGCGGGGTCCCTGCGCTGAGTCACGAGCATACTGACGACTTTGATCGATTGAAAATGATTAACCCTCGCACGACCAGGCCATTTCTCATAACACGAACGACCAGGGGGGGGGGGGGTTGTTACGACCCCCCCCCTGGCGTTTCGAAACGGAAGGTCGTAGAGCTTAGCGGAAAAAACCAACGGATTGCTCTCAACGAGATCTCGCGATTGGTGGTATATTTTTTGGTCCTAGGTCAACATTTGACCTACTTTTGACCGGTCAAAGGTCAAATTTTCGGAAAAATAGACTTTTTTCAACTTTCGGCGGCGATTGCGGCAAAACGGTGGGAAATATCGACTTGAAACCTTCACTATCGTGTTCCTTGATCAATTCTCTATCGTTTGGTATGCATTTCGTTTCCCTAGCTCTAAAAATGGCGCGTTGGGAGCGCCGGAAGTCGGCAAGGTCACAGTCGGCGGCAGAAATTCGAAAAATCAAAATTTAAATTTTTGAAATCTGATTGTATTTTTGGATTTGGGAGGTCCATTTGCTCCCTATAGAAGCTAATATTGCTGCATATTCCCATTGAGGTGACAAGAATTAGCAAAATAGTGGTTCGGGCGCTTTTCAAAAATAGTACCGGACGCTGTTCCTCTTGTGACGTCATAGCTCCGTGACCTGACCTGACCCGGTCAAATTTCTTATACCATATGATAGCCAATACTTGCCCCAACATGCATGGGAAGTTTCATCACGATCCATCAACCGATGTCCGTACCACCGGCAGGAAACCTCGGGCGTTGGCACTCAGTTTGTGAAAATCCGGCCGGAGGCTGTACCTCTTATGACGTCATAACTCCGTGACCTGACATGACCCGATCAATTTTTTTTCGGCAAAAGATGCGCAAAGGTTGCCCCAGAGGGTATTGAAAATTTCAGCCCGCTACGACAAGCCGTTTAGCGTGCACTTCGAAAAAACCTCAGGGGGGGGGGGTTGATACAACCCCTCCCCCTAGGCGTTCTAGGGTTAATATCAGGGTTCCGGACCTGGTTTAAAATGAATAGGCTGCATCCTGGATCTGCCGTCGCATTATGTCGACGAAACGCCAATTTTTCAAACAAAAGTGCCCTCACGGGTGCACGTGGCGCGTGCCACTTGCACCCGCTTCACCCCGCTTTACCCCGCTCCCGGCGCATAACTCGGGAGCCAATAGAGCTACAGCGCCCCGGAAAATCGCATTCGAGAGGCATTTTAACGCCCTTTCTTGATTATGCTTTCAGATTTGACCTGGGGTCAACGGTTAGCCTCTAGAGGGCAACAACTATAAAAATAACCGTTTTTTTCAAAAAATGTATTTCGGTAATAACTTTTTCCTCAAAAGAGCCAGACATTACTCTGGCAGCATCGTGCTCCTCTCATCGAGATGCGTCGAATGAACTATACTTTGACCTTGAAAGGTCATTTTGAAAATTTGCTTTCAGGTCAAGGTCATTATCTGACCTTAATGCTGCAAATCAGTCGATCTGTATCGTCGAGCTGAACACATCTGAGGTGTTTTCACCGCTCTAGCACGTCTCTATCAAAAGTTATTATAAAAAAACTGCTGGGGACCTTTCATGACGTGAGATGACTTCAGGGGCACACAGAGGGGTCACGGGTGCAGTTTTCCGATTAAATGTGTCATAGTTTGAATCGTTGAATTTATTTACTTGCAAGCAAGAACAGAGGGGAAAAGGGGAAATAAATTTATCGCTTCCCATGCGCTTGCAATACAAGTCCAAAAACTGGCGTAAGTTACGGACTCGCTTTATGAAACGAGGCCCTGTGACCTGACGTTGAACGACCCGGGTTTGAAATTTTTACAACATGTGCGGGAAAAGATGTATGAACATTTGTGCCAAAAATGGCGGCGCACATCGCCGCCGTTTTTGGGATATTCGCGAAAAAGTTGAGGGGGGCGTGAAGACCCCAGCACCCCCAGCACGGCGCGGATTAAAAAAAAAAAAAACAACTCAATGCAAACATGGGACGCTGATATACTTTATTTTTTGCTTAACGAGAGCAGTTTGTAGGCTATCGTCGGTAAAAATGTCACCTACAACTCCCCTCACACGTTTCGTTTCGGACGCCAATTCTGGGAACAGTTTGATCGGATCGCGTTCATGTGCTCCACTTACCCAAGAGCCCGGTGCGCCGGGTGTGACCCAACCCGGGCACGGCACGGTCATCGCAGCGACGATATCTTACCGGTCAGCTCGGACATGGATAGTTCCGCACTGTCCGGCCGTCGTTGGGCAATGGTTCCGATCGGACGCGGCGACTGGGAGGGGCTCTCCTGCTGCTGATGTTATCAGAAGTGCCGAGTTGTTGTTCTCGAAAGGTCCTCTGGTGAGGTCAGCCTGTTATCTGGGAGTCTCGAACAAAATGACTGTTTAAGTTGAGATTGGTCGGCTGTGAAGAGGGCGCCTATTGTCCCCTGGAAAACTTCTTGTTCCTAACGCATTGTTGTATGAAGTTGTCTTGAGCTGCGACTTAGTTCATCTTTGTCTTGCCTAGACAGCGTCGGTTGTTGTCGCCTTCCGTCAAATTCGGTCACGTCTGCTGCTTCCTTCCTCTCTGGTCTCCGCCGTAGAGCCGGTCAGGCGCACCCCGCGCCGGTCGTCTCTGAAGGAACCCGTCCGTCGATCGGACCGGGCTGCGAGTTACCTAAGTGTGGAACTACCCAGCGCCGAGCCGGCCGGATGACGTCACACCACGGCCAGTGCCGGCGCGGCGGCAGACTGGCCGAGATTGGCATGGTCTTAACTTGGCGGAGAGGCATCGGACGCCAAACTTCTGGTGTAGCTAGTTAATCACATTTAATTTTAGCGCATGGTGTTTCTTCCATGTGTATGAGCTATCACGTCCTTCAAATGCCTGATGTGTAGGTGAGCGTACCTGCATTTAGTGTGTGCATTGGATTGAAAATGTGGATTGTGGATTGAATGTGAAAATGTGCTATGTGGATTGAAAATTGGGGCACATTAGACACGCTGCGCAACGGATTCTGGTATTGCCTGGCTGATTCTGGCTTTGTGTCTTCGCGCGAACTATTGAAAGGGAGGACAATTTTTAAAGGTTGTTACTCAAACGTTTAAAAATAAGCAACTGCTCATTGAATTTCTGGCGAGTGGTGGTGGAACTTTCTGTTCACAAATGATTACCTACCTAGTACCTACCTGCAGTGGCAAATAACTGGGTCGCGGTCAATTAGCCATTAGGCATGATTCACGAAGTTCTTAAACCTTTATTAGACTTAAGTATGCAACATTTGCGTCTTTTCGCGTTGTAGTATCGGTTAGCAAATGAGAAAATCTGCATCTTCTCGACAGCCCTCTAGGTATTCAAGAAACCTTTCCATATTGCATCATTCCAGAAAATAATTTTCAAACATTGGTATCCTCCCCACAAAAAAAAACTGAAGCAGTTTCCTTCGGCTCCAATGCGCCGCTCGCCCAGGGAGGCGGGAATGTTATATTCTCGGCGGTCCAGTCTGCATTCTGCAGCACAATTAAACTTGGCGGACCCCCAGCGCACGACTGAACGATTCGTTTTGTTGTGAGTGACTGTGACGACAGCAAATAAATTCACTGGTGGTTTTGGAATAATTAACAGCCGGCGCAGCCCAGTGCCTCTTGAAATGAATTATACAGTAGCGAATGCACTATTGCAGAGAAGAAAATAGAAATGGACTGAGCAGATGCCCAACCACGCTGTATTATCAACTTACCATTACGCTTTACATTTTCATTGGGTAATCATGGAAACAAACGACTTGCGACCCTTCCGCCTTACATAACTCGGTAGAATACCCCTGAGTCGGCTAAACTACACTGCATCTCTTCAAAGCCTAAGCATTTTACAATTTACCACTCAGCTATGCACAAGCACAGGCGTATAATTTACTGCTCAACTCCTTTTCCTCATCATCTTTTTGGCACCGTCAATCCCCATCTGCGCTATCCACTGTCCAGCGAATAAAGCGGCCGTCTCCAGTTCTCCGGCAGGGGCTTCCAAACTCAAGCGAACTCGCCGAAGTTTCGCCATTCAATGCGCAGGATCTGTACATTTGAGTTTGAGAGCCTCTGGATTGGCTCGGCGCGCCTGGGCTACGCCGTTGGTCCGGCCAAGTACGTGAGTGACGTCATGCTATGAGCGTCATCCCTCGACCAAAGTCACCAATCAGAGCCCTATAATTGACGTACAGTTCCACACTTAGGTAACTCGCGACCGGGCTCTACGGACAGATGTACCGACCGGCCTACCGGCGTGCGTCGCCTAGTGTGATATAGATCTGGATAGGGAGTCCGACCCGACCCAGGGACGCAATGTCTATGGCATTAGGTAACGGCTGAATGTAGTGTGAAGAGGATGGGTGGGTCCTGGTGAACGCGATGATTGTTCAATGTGAATGATA